AGATAGATAGATAGATAGATAGATAGATAGATAGATAGATAGATAGATAGATAGATAGATAGATAGATAGATAGATAGATAGATAATAGATAGATAGATAGATAGATAGATAGATAGATAGATAGATAGATAGATAGATAGATAGATAGATAGATAGATAGAGAGATAGATAGATAGATGGATAGACAGATAGACAAATAGATAAATAGATGGGTAGATAGATGAGATAGATAGATAGATAGATAGATAGATAGATAGATAGATAGATAGATAGATAGATAGATAGATAGATAGATAGATAGATAGATAGATAGATAGATAGATAAATAGAAAGATAGATAGATAGATAGATAGATAGATAGGTAGATAGATAGATAGAAAGATAGATTAGGTAGATAGACAGATAGATAGGTAGATGGATAGATAGAAAAAAAACACATAGATATATTGATGAACTGGTTGATAGATTGATAGATTCATAGATTGATAGATTGATAGGTAGGGAGACATATAGATAGATACAGTAGAACAAACACACACACATATATATATATATATGCATGTATATACACATATTCTACATGTTTATTCATGTTTATGCTTACAATACAAACATACATGCACGAATACATGATGAAGAACCACAATGTGTAAAATCTGGCTGGTGGTCTGTGATCATAGCCTCCTACTTCGCACAGAAATCATCTCGGAATCGGACTAACGATCAAAGTCGTACTCTCATCCACTCTGGGAACCTTCATGAATATAGATCTGCGGTCCCAAGAGCCTAAACGATTGACCCATCGACCCATGTGCTGCTTCCCCAGTTCGAAGTTGCCTGATAAACCTCATGATCTACAAATGGGTTTGTCTGAAAATAGGGTATATTCCCAATTATAGCCATTTAATAGGGATAATGATCATTAACCATTGGGTTTAGGGCTACACTATTTTCAGACACACCCAAATATACCTACCATAAACCAGCAATTAACAGCACACCCCCCTGAAGTACTCTGGGAGTAGGCCGCCATGCGGTGGCACCAGTGCCGCCCATGCCATGGCGCACAGAAAAAGAAGGGATGCAACGCCTCCAAAATAAAGAACTGGGACTTTTTTAGAACTTTTGGGGGGGTTGGGAACCCTCTGTAAATATCGAGGATTTGATGGTTTTGGATGCTTCTGAACAGTTTTGAACGGCTTTGAATCTTGAATGATTTTCAATGTTTTTTGATTAGAATTGATGTTGTTTTGAATAGTTTTGATTGCTGAATGGGTTGCTTGCTGCATGTTTTGGTCATCATATATGCAAATAGAATATATATATATAGTAATAATAATATAGTGTATAATATGTGTGTATATAAATAATAATAATATAGTGTTTAATATATATATATATATAGATATATAATACAAATGTATATATATATGTATATGTATATATGTATATATGTATATATATATATATATGTATATGTATATATGTATATATGTATATATATACACATGTGACAGAGAGAGATGAAACCACCCAACATGTCACAACAACTGCGTGTAATGTATGCAACCACCGCAAAAAGAGAGAGTCCAGTCCGTTATAGTCACCGCAAAAAGATAGAACCCCCATTCATCATTATTTTAGTAGGACTTTACTGTTCTATCTTTTCTGGGGTTGCTATATATTATACATAATCAAAAATGTGGATGTTTCCTCGCTGACAATGGGTATTTCCTAAAGAACAGAGGCATTTCCAAATCTGAGCCTGGAAAGCGAGGACGTCCTAAGCTTGACGTGATATAGCCTTGCTGCAAAATCCCCGTTTCCAGCTCATAGATTGTGATCATTTCCAAAATAATCATCAATCAACACTGGTAGATTTGGGTAGATTGTGATAATGTCCAAAACAATAATAATTGGGTAGATTTGGGGTAATCTAACCCCCCATAATCATCAACCAACATGGTTCTGAATCTGAACACTGCTCATTTGAGTGAAATGCGTTGCGCTATGCGCCAGAACAGCTTTTTAGGTTTGCAAGTTACATATAGTTACATATTGATGATCAGGATGGCTTAAAAGGTCATGATTTTCAGCGCCTTTGAGCGCTGACTGATCATCAGTCAGCTTCATCAGGATCAAACCAACAAAAGTTGGAGGAACATGATTTCTGAGTTGGGCATGGGTGCTTTTTCCAACCCCTTTAACCACCAGCATTTTTGTTGGCTGATTTTGACCCAAGACTTCACTACACAATCAGATCCCAGAAGGTTGGACCCCCACAGCAGGTTTTGCGCTTCAACTTTGCTGATGCTACGTGCAGGTCGGAAGATGATGGAGCAGCGTGCTGGGTATCTCAAGCACTCAAAACCGAGGCATGGCAATCCAAACGAATAACGTGTTCTTTTTCCGATACAAGAAAAACATTCAACTCGCTATAAAACACCTATAACATCCTATAACAAAATTGATGGAACGCCCGAAGCTGCCAGTGGTGACCTCCCATCTGAACAACCACTGACAGGAGTCGGTCAAATCCCATCTTCGGTGATAAAGTCCTCATGTTTGTTTGTTGCATCCATATGTTTGAGGAGTCACATTCTAAGTGTTGTTGGTCAAATTTCTGGTTTGTTATCGCTGAAAGTCTCCACATAGTGATGTGTTGATGATGGCTGATGATGATATATATGGTCATTGGATTGTTCAGGGCTTTGCACATGAGATTAAATTGGCAGCAATATCATCCACGCTAAGAATGAAGCAGCATTTTTTTGGGGACTCCTATGATCAAATTCAAAACATTCCAGCAAGGTTCCGGTAGTTGTTTTGGGGGAAAGGGTGCCCAGTTCACTTGACTCACTACCGATACTAAATGGTTCCGGGATCAACTTAGTTTGGGAGCATTCTGGATCTTGGAGAATTTCTTATATAGTATATATAAATGGTTCAGAGGTTATGCAGTAATTGAAATTATTCTACATACGTGTTATATATGTTTTTTTCAATAAACCGATCCAACACCTGATTTGCAAACCATCCAGCCATAAACGCATGTCGCGGCAAGCTGCTCCAGCTCGATGACGGGCTCCAAAGGTGACATCCAGGTGATTGAAGTGATTGAACTATCAAAATACGGTAGAAACCATGGATGTTATGTTCAATAACATTAGATGGTTTCTCTATGTATATATATATATATATATCAAGTATTGAACAAACTATCTAAATACTTCAATAACATTACTGGTTGGTGCTTTTACATGCTTTTACCCATCTTGAAAAATATGAGTTCGTCAATGAAAGGATTATCCCATATATGAAATGGAAAAATGACAAATATTTGAAACCACCAAGCAGATTAGATGGTTCGATCATCTACCATGGATTTAGATTGGATGGTTGTTGAACCATTAGACGGTTGAAGCATCAAATATGGAGGTTCAATATCAAACCACCCATATATGCAGTAGAAAAAATGGAAGTGGTCAGTACCTGGTAAGTTCATTTTGCTGGGGAACATATGGGATAAGCATCAAAAATGGGTGGCGAACAATTTGTTCCCATCAATTATAAGGGTTTCCTGTACATGGTCCCTTTTTTTTTCCTATGACATATGGTGATTTTCCTGTAGATTTCCCCTAAAACCAATTCATTGAATTTTCCCTTATACTATGTAATGTGACTATATCCCAGATAATGTTGTATCCTGATTAGTGGCTAGTTTCGCTCTTGTGGCAAAAAAAAACAAATTATTCTGAACCCATGTAGGGTCACTATCGTGGCAAGAAATTTTGGGGGGCAATTTTGTTGGTCCAAAAAAATGGTTGTGTAAAGAAATCAGAACATTTTTTTTGAAAACATATTGCTTTTCCCCCCGTCCCAAAAGAATCAGACCGCTTATTAAACCCTTATTGAAGAACAGTTTTTCCACAAATTTCCAAGGCACTGGGCCATGAGAGGGTCCAATTCACTTTAGTAGGTTTGTTCTCAGGGTTTACAATTGCAGCAAACTTTTCCAGAGCTGATCCTGGAGACAAGAGAAGAAAGGTAGGCCTTTTCCACAACCAATTACCAAATTCAAAGTCCAAACCTTTCCCAAAAGAATCAGACCGCTTATTAAACCCTTATTAAAGAATATCGTTCCCTTTCTCTTTTCTTTCTCTGTCTCTTTCTCTTATTGCATGGTTCATTAAGAAAAGACTTTAAGGGAGGAAAAGGTAACGCAATCAACATGCTGAACCCCACGTACTACAAGTACTACAAGTACTACTAGTACTACTAGTACTACTAGTACTACAAGTTCATCGGCAAAAAAAGTTTTAAATAGATTTCAATTGTAGCCAATTGAAATCCTTACTTAAGTGCAGATGTTTGTTTTTTTTCTGTTTTTTTTCTTTTTGGCGCTCAACTTTAAAGAGGTTATAGGTATTGTTTGAGGGGGGGGCCGCACACTCATCAGGACGCAACATTAAATCTCTAAGTCAATGTCTTCCCTACTATGAAAATTCATGTTCCAGTCGTCAGTCGCTTGGAGCCAACGTCAGCCGCCATGGCATCACACTTTCTTTGGCTCCACCGTTGGCGCTTTTTCGGCGGTCTCAGAACCAAGGAGAGCATCCACACCTCTGAGGGAGTTGGTGATCCATTTTCTTCTGGCTGGCTGCTGGCCCTACTTTTTATAGGTATGTGTATATGCCAAAAATAATGTGTATATATATATATATATAATACATATATATATAATACACACACACATATATATATAAATAGATACGAATGCATATTATATATAAATACTATATGAGTATATATATATACACATACTACACACATATATATATATATATATATACCATGATGTATTTATATATATATACACCATGATGTATATATTTGAAAATGATCTACTATACTGTTTCAACAATTGATTTTAACATATTTTAAGGATCTTGAGTTGCCGCGCTTGACTTGTTTTGTGGATTTACTGCTGGATGTCTGGAGCATGGGTCCGAAATCTATGATGCCATCTGACCAGAGGGATTCTCATACAGCCATGGTGACGTTGAAACCAGCGTGTCAAGTCCAATCAATATCATAGACAAATAGATCTGGCTCATAGATGTTCATGGTAAATTGCCGACATATCTCCAAATGATGTGTTGGACCATTGATATGTCGGTTGTGTCCGGCATTGAAACCATGAAATTCATCGAGTCTCGTAACCTCACTAAAATCCATCTCAACATCAGTTGTAGTAACAAAACAACTGATGCATCCCTACATCATCAATGGGAAAGGCATTGTGGACATGTTCCAATTAGTGACCATATTATTAGATCCTTCCGTCATCTCCACCAAACAGCTAGCGTGACTCCATAAAGCAGTTACCTGCCAGGGTAATTTTACAATAGTTTGCAATAGCGAAGCGGAAAATGGTTCATTTATGTTCATTTATAACATTTATGGTTCATTCAAGGACGATTACCATCGGGTTATTTAACATAGCCATGGATAATCACCATTTTTTATAGGTAAACCATCTATTTCTATGGGCCATTTTCCATGGCTATGTTAAATAACCAGAGGGTAATAAACCTCTGTTTACCTCGTAAAAAGAGGGGTGGATGTTCTACAGCGACTCCCGAGGCTCCCGAGGCTCCCGAGGCTCCCGAGGCGCACCTTGCGCCATGGCACCATCCACCACTTGCAGCGCACGTGACACGCAGTCGGCCGCGCTCTCCAGAAAGGTGTGCTCCAAGTCCTCACGGATGGATTTTGATATACTTTGATGCTCACGGACGGGTCAAATCGATGCAAAACATGGAGAAAATTGCTGTTTTTATGGCTGATGTGAGACAGAATAAGGTTTGCGGAAGCCAATATTTGGCAATGGATTTTAAATCTGGAGTTTGCGGAATCGATATTTCAAGCAGGCTAATATCAGGCTTTCAAAGTAGTGATGGGTACGTTCAACTCAACCTTGTTGCATAGTAACCATACGATTATCATACCTTCAACGTGCTGCGAAATAGTTGTGTTGGTCTAGAAATAAAATGAAATAACTACTTTAGATATACTATAATGGTTGCTGGAATTTTGAAAGGAACCCATTTCCAGAGGGCACCACCTGGTACCAATATCATACAAGATCTGCAAATTCATGTTATATGTCTTCACCACACAGGATTGGCACATGTCTCACCATAACACTATCAAGCATCACCTTCACACATGGCTGTCACAGGCTGTCACAAATAATCCACCAAACAAAGTCGGGTGACATTAGTACGGGTCAAACATGGGTACTCCCAAATTGGATGATGATGATGATGATGATGATGATGATATATATATATATATATATACATCATATCACTTGACATCACTTGACTATAATTCTACTTCAAGATATCCAAGGCCCAGAATTCGATAAATCGTTTCATCTTGATTCATTTTGACAAGACAAAATCGGAACCACAAATCCTGGACCTCGTGCCTGGCGCATCATCAAACTCTTCTCTCCTTTGGCTGCCTCCAACTCTTGCTGGAGCCCCGTGGCTGAGAAGATGGTGAGCAGGTCCAGCATGCTGCGCAACGATCGGAAAGATGGGCGTTCAGTGCGAACAGTTGAGCCGGTGAAGACGCTGCGGAAAATTCCAGGTTTTCCAACTGAAGCGGATCAAAACCAGGTGGGGGATTTAACCAGGAGTAATCATTTACACCCCCGACATGTAACATGGAACCCAACTTTGGGTTCAATATGTCTATAATATGCACATGCACACACAAACACACACACACATGTATATATATATATATACATACACAATATTATGAGTTTCTTGGACAGTCTTGTTGCGGTTCCATACTAGTTTTCAGGGTCTGGGGGAACCAGCATGGTGGGAAGACATCATCCTCATGAATATCCCACCATTTGCCCTATGAATTCCCCGTGGCAAAACCATCCACCCAGTTCACATAGAGCCAAATAGGGGGTTGGAAGATTAGTTTCCACTGTAGAAATGGCTCTGTTCAGGGTTGATGTTAATTTAGCCGCCTAAAACCCTGTAATGTGGGTAAAACAATCATAAACCATCCCCCAGTCATCACCATAAATAGGTGGTATATGTTTACCATTCTCAAGTGGGTGGTTTATGACATTGTTTTACCCACATTTGGGCTAGCCGAAAACCCACAAAAAATGGGCACCGATCTTGGTAAAGCCAAGTGTCTCACGCCCGCCCCGCGGAGGCGTCGGATCAGCTCCAGCTTTGCTGAGCTGCTAACAAAGACCTCACAGTCTGACCAAAACCGGTGGAAATAAAACTGTGGGAATTCGATGGGGGTTGATTAATGGTGATTTCATGGGGTTCAATGGGATTTAATGGAGATTTAATGGGGATTTAATGGAGATTTGATTTGATGGAGATTTAGTCAAATATCATGAGGATATCATTCAAAATAATGAGGATATGTGATGGAAACATTACACAGCTAACCAACTTCACTTGATATCTATGTTATATATATATCATATATCCCTACAAGGTGAGGTTGCCAACTAACTGGTGGGGCTCACCTTGTATGGATCCAATGGGATCCAATGGGGCTATTTATGGTTAGTACATGGGTTTTACAGTGTATGGGGATGATGGGGGGATCATGGGGCGATGAACATCTGTTTGCAAGGTATGTTGCTGTGAACCAAAAGGGCACAGCTTTTTAACCCACAACCAAATCAAATGCTTCAATATATTTTACATATCCTTGTTTATCTTTATTACGGGTCTTTGCGGGTTTTAGCAACCCACAGAAAAATCGAAACGGTCAAAAAGGGCGTCATTTTGTCTTTATACTTTTTTCGGGGTTCTGCAAGTTAAGTAATAATCCAATTTAATGTAATGTTCTTATTGGGAAAACATTGGGCGCTTAAGAGGGGCTGAGTTTAAGGAGCAACCTTCGATGCGGCGTACACCTTTTAGTATAATCACACTGGTTGGTGGTTTCAACCCCTCTGAAAAATATTAGTCAGTTGGGATCACTAGTCCCAATATATGGAAAAATAAAAAATGTTCCAAACCACCAACCAGTACATATTAGTAAAGATCCAATGGGGCCATGGAGGTCCTTCCGCTCACCTTTTCCCGCGCCAAGAAGAAGGCAATGCTCAGCCGCGGCCGTGTTGACCCGGACGTCCGTGCCATGACGCGGTGAGGCATCGCAGCGTGGCAAGGGGCAGCGGGAAAGGCCTCTGAGAAACGGGTGCCAAACAGCAAGGCGCCGGTGTCCTGGAAAATCCATAGATTTTCAGGGAAAATTGAACCAGAAAACTCAGAAACCATGGATTGGATTTACCCAACAAAAAGTAGATTTTCTGGCAGATGTTCCCGTATGTAAACCAATTCTAGCAAACAAATGGGGGAATCACAAAACTCGAAGCAAAGCAAGACACTTGCACTTGCTGTCTGGGCGGCTACAGTTGCAGCAACCACTGCCAATCACTTTTTTTTGCCTTCTCCTTTGCGGAGGTGTCATTCGTATTGTCTGAAAATAGGGAACTCCCAAATCCACTGGATAATCATCAGTTTCCCTGTTAACATGCTAATTTGGGAGGTATACCCGGTATACCCCCCGCTCCTTGGAGGGGAATCGTAGGGGATGCTCGTTCACATAGAGTTGGCCACCACCATGCGAAGGCACCAACCTGGGGGAGCCGTTGAGCCATGGTCAGGAGGTAACACTTCTGGGCTTATCTAAATTTAAACTGGTGATGTTCATGGTCACTGATTTTACTATTAAACATGCTGGACATTACCAATTTTGAGGTTTCTTAAAGCAGGGGATCCCAAAGTCAACCATGGGTTTCAAAACTTTGAAACGACTTATATAATTTTGGATGATTTGAGGGCACCCCCATTTTGGGAAACCTCCTATTCAGTCTGTGCATACCAAACGTACGAGTACACGAGTACTATACATGGATGTTGGAGGTGGAAGGTGCTCAGTCAGAGATACTCTAGTTATATAATTGTTTATGATCAACACAAAGCAGCAAACAATCATAGCAACCCCCAAAAAGATAAAACATCCTATTGAAATAGTAACGACTTCCTTTTCTATCTATTGCGGGTTGCTATAAAGTGTCGCCAATCCTGCAGAAAAGTCTTCCATTTCTTCAGGCTCACAAGTTGCGGAGATCATCGGCCCCTACGATGTGCCACAAGGCCTCATCGTACATACTCATTTGATAAGCGCAGGTGTATCTATAATTACGGTACTCTCTCTCTCTCTCTATCTGTATATGTAATATATATATATATATATATAATAAGTATATGTATATATTATTTTAATTATATATATATATATGCACAAATATATACATATACAAATATATATGATATATGGTAATATACCAGAGACCTCAAACGGCTCCCCATTGGTTTCTGAAATTGTGAACCCCAAAGGTACCCCCATTGGTAAGCCATTTAGGAACTAAGATAAATCATAACAATAAGTGCACATATTTCCAAGATATCACATAATTATGCTAGGTCCTGTAAATAAACCCAACATATCGATAGATCCTATACATAAACCCAACATATCGCATAACTATGATAGATCCTATACATAAACCCAACATATCACATAACTATGATAGGTCCTACATAACCCCCCTACCTTTCACCCAAGCCAAAGCAGCCTTTCTGCCAAAGCTGCCGAAGAAAGTCGAGGAGGCCACTGAGGCCAACATCATGGGCAGGGCTCTCCAGTTGAGTTGATGGATAAAAAAAAAACTGGGTCGTATCGTATATATTCATAGGATATGAACACATTATTTTTCTTTCTGTAAATATTCAATTTATAATCATTCCGTCAACTGTCGGAGCCACCGGCAACACACGTAGGCTGCGTATCTTTCTAGACACTGGTAGCCTAGATACAAAGGTTGGCACATTTGTGCCATTTTTTTTGTCTTTCCGACGAAATCTTCGTCATCATATGTGCTTGTGGCCATTGGGTTGCAATACATGCTTTGGTCGATCACCAAATGGTCAAGCCTTAGATTCCCCGTATCAAAAAAAAAACTGTCAATGCAACATAGTACCTGCAAAATTGGCATTACCGGAAAATTGAAGTCTCTTCTTCTGATCCCAGCAACTGATGGTATTTTGGTCTGATTTTGTACACAAGGATCTCCATCTCAAGCGCTTCCCGTGCTAAGCCTCAACCAATGATGCAACAAAAAAATCAAACAAGTTGAAACCTTTCTTGACAGCCAGTGTAGCACTCTGATACAGCCAAATAGCAATTGTGGGCACTGTGGAGGAGGAAATTTGAACGAACCAGGATTGAACGGTTCTCCGGAGTCAGCAAAGCACAAGGATTACGGTCCTTTGCAATACATGACCGCATAGCCACCAGATTCACAAAAAGTGAAGCTCGCAACCTAGGTGGATTTCCAACAGGCCAATTTTATATCACCAGGAAAAAAACCAAAACACAAACAGCTCAACTGTAGAAATCTTGAAGCCAAACAACGCAGCATGATCATCATTTGGCTTTGCTTCTGCAACTGCCAAAGTCACTCCCTTAAGCCATTTGGCCAACACAGCTGCTTCCTTAGAACATCACCACCCTCCAAGACTAGAGAAGCAAATGAAGTAGGTTCAATCCCTTAGAACTTGTAACATTTTCTGAATGAAACATCCGTCCAAGGAGCAGCACCATTAAAGTGCTTCTGCACTAATGTTGGGTAGTTGTTCCTTCCCAGTGGATACAGTTGATTCCTCAATTCTCCAATCAGAATGCACTTGTGCACACTAAGCGTGGCAAAAACAAACAAGCTCGGGTTTGCAGACAGGAAACAATGATGACATCACCCCACGGTTTCCTCAACAGTTCGTATTTCTTGCTGAAGTAAGCCAGCAGTCTTCAAAGCTGCAGTCAGTTGTCACATGCATTGCCGTGTGTGTATCACATGTCTTATGGTCAGGCCTAGTATCTAATACCATGTCGTCTGCACTCACGAGCAAAATCAACACCTGCTAGTCGAAGGCGTTCTTCCTGAGATTCCCCTCTCCAAACATCATCCGTCTTGGTGAGCTCGGCCAAAGCCTGGGATTCAAATGTCAAACGCCATCATCCCAGTAAACTAACTATTTCAATAAATCCTGCTGGTGTAAACCAAAAGTAAAAACTACTTATGCAAAGAAAGTTCGCAGACCCAGCCATTTCCGGGGTGATTGCCAAGTCAACCAAATGGAGCCAGTCGGTCATTACAATGGAAATGTCAAAACCAGGAATCCGTATCCAAGGGTTTGGTCGGCACCCATGGATGATGAAATCTGTAGTGGACTTGAGGGTTGATCTATGAGGAGCGTTTTCACCGAAGAACGAGTACAAATTTGGCCCACTGAGAGCAGCATCACAGTACATACAACATTTGTCACTCACCCAACTCGTTGTCAGCTTCAAAGCACGCTGTATGTACTTTTGGTCCCCTTTCAAACCAAACAGCACAGCACGGAACCCACCACAGATAGCTCCAGAAGCAGCCCGTGGAAATGGATTGTTGTAAGGATCGACAGACATGAACTGTCCAGTTTGAAGCTCTGTAAGTGAGTGCACAACCCATGAATCCAAACAGTCATATGTAGCTGCCACAGCACGACTCACATCCATGCAGTAAATCAAAAACCTGTGATCCCATGAGCTCCCTGCACGGCTCAGCGGTGAAGCTATAGTGAATACGGTGAAGCTTCGCCGTCTGTGGCTGTCACCATCGTCTCCATGCACCACAATTGGAAAGATACGGCTGAGATCAGCATCCTGAGGCTACACAAGGTCAAGGGTAGCAGTGCCACCTTCTTTCAAAACAATATACCCAGCCTGACTGCAAACAAGTTTCAGCAGCTGACAAAATGGGATGGTTCTGAAACCATGGTCGGGATCTTTGTGCTTCCCAAAACTGTTCCAATGCCTAGGGCATGGTGTGATCCAAAAACTACTTTGGGTTTCACCATCTAAAAAAAAAGTTCAGCTGATGACCTGATGCTACAGTGTGTTTGACTGCAATATACTGCAACCTGGGCACACCAGGAGGTCCGAGCCATCTCTCCCGGAAAAGGTTCTCATCATAAATGTACATAGCATGGATCCTTGGCAACCCATGCAGTCCATGAATGAATGAAGGTTAACTAGTCAACAGGGCCCATATTATAACGATACTTTGTGTAAGTTAAGGACTGCATATATAGTCAATATGAATCACATCAAGTGCAATCTAGAAACACTTCACTCGGTAGGAATATATGCCATGGTCCCAGATACATAGGGTCGCTTCGACTTTGATCCATCAACGCAACTTCAATCCTGGGAACGGGTGGACGAGGAAGGGACAGGTGGCTGAAAGGGACCCCTACATTTCCAAACCAACATACCATCAACATACCCACATGAAGCAAGATGCTCTTTGGGCTGGGGTAACATTGCCCTCCATGGCTGACGATGCAGCCATCTCCAGAAGCGACGACCACAGTTTTTGGGTTCAGACTCATCAATCTTGACCAGCTCTTTCAGGTTCCTCCTGGCATAAGTAGCAATATGTTTCTAAGAAAATACCAGATTAAGTAACCACTGCAGGAAACCGTTTCTATTCAGATATGTTTGATACCAAGTTGCGGGAGATGTTTTCCTGGAATACGGCGTCGTAAGATAGCCAAAAATTGCAATAGGGTGTGAACACTCACCTAGGCGTTTGTAGGAGACCACCAAATACTTGTAAGTAGATCCAGGGTGTGTATACGTATATATGTGCATGTGACTCATCTGAATTTGCAGCTAAGAAACCTGCTTCCCTAGCTCCAAAAATTCTTCGACCAAATCCATGGGCCATTGCCCCCCATTGCCCCCACAGCGGAGAGAGCACGTATTCTAAAGGGTTCCCTAATTTTGTTTGGAAATAACGAACCCTAATTTCTTCTGTTGTTTATATTATCGATCTATGGTTTTCAAATTTACAAGAGATATCCCAAGCAACCTGAAACATAAGGATTATAAATTTATGTCATTATCATTGCTGTTTTTTCCCCATGGTTGATTCTTGAATGGCTGCATGATGCGATCAGGTTGTAGTTTATGAGTTTATTTGACCATGTTGAATTTCATGTGGACTGCATTGCAACATCAGTTTCCGACCATTAAATTCCAAACCATTAACCGTAACGCATTTTGTGGTCCACAGGCACAACCCCTTCATGCCTATGTTCGATGCTCCATCATGGCAACCGTTGCCATCACACAGCCACGCAGGCCATTGGTAAAGAAAGACCCATTGGCACTTTGCCAAGAGTCAGCACGGGCGCCCAGGTTCCAAGGGAATGGATCACATCATATGCCAGGGAACTCAGAAATATAAAAGGATATCAAGTTCAGGGGCTATGATATTTTTAAACATAAATGCAAAATTTGGCCAGAACATTCGATGTCCCTGACATATATGCAACAACCCCGGGTAAAGTTGCAGGATCTTTAAATTTGGATGACATACCACACCACAGGGTCCCGTATTTGAAATCAAATTCAGATGGTCATTGGTTATTAGTTTTTATTCCACTAAGTCCCCAAAAATAAAGCTACGATATTTATTGATATCAAGTTTTTGGTACTGACGGCACCCTGCAATGTGCAATGACAGGCTAAGATGTTTTTCGGGAACATTCCACGTCATCTCATAAACACCCAGCACACAGCTAAACATATAAGTGAGATAACTTTTTCCCCAGAACATTTATGATCATTTCAGGGTTTTATATGTTCCACCTTAGTCTTCCACACTTTCTGCTTCATCACTGGATGGATCAGCCTTCTTGGCTGCCCTTCCTTTGCCCTTTTTTGGGCCCTTGGCAGCTGACAGACGACGCTTAGCGTCACTGATGTCACCCATAATAACCGCAATTTCATTCTTTTCACATTCCAGCTTGGCTTGGAAATCCATAGGGTCAACTTCAGAGGCTGGAGCCCCCAAGTAAGTTTCCACCCGCTGCCACCCGGTAGCAGCAGGCACTTCATGGGCATCCAACGCAGTCACCTGCAGAATGTCCCAATGATAGGTTATCCCCATGAACATGCCTAAAACCAAACTGTACCAGTGGATAATGTTACAATGTTACAATGCAATATGCATAACCTCGATCCACGACCTATTGTATGTTACTATTGTATGGATAGCATTCATGTTTACTATATATAATAATGATTAATATCCCTGTATCAGCCAAGGCACCAGCTCTGAGCAGTTTCGCACGTTGTAATCCTGTAGGTCCTTGATCATCTTGGGGAGCTCATTCACCACCTGATTCCACCTAGGCTCACGAGAACATAAGTACCACATCCATAGACCCAGAACCCAGTGAAGTCGTACCTAATCAAGACTCAAAGGTTCAAGAACCATACGATCGTTAATTGATCAAAGAAACTTTTTGGATATCTTTTTCATCTCGGCGATTGCTTCATCAACTGGGGACTTCTCCTTCTTTGGCTTTTTACACCTTATCTGTCCAGTAGTAAGGTTCATGAATTCGGGAGTGGAAGAGTTCAGGCCCTGCAGCTGCTTTGCCAGCAGCTGTTTTGCTCCTCCATCACGAACTCGACCCGAAAGGGAAGCCTTGGATATGAATTGGGAGTGTTTATAATGTACTTTAGAGAGGTCATAAAAGCATATGTTATTTCAAAAATACGGTGAACCAAACCCATTCCTTTCAAACTTGATATGTATATGATATGCATGGGCCAAGGCATAAGCAAATAAAACTAAGTAGCAGAGGTCTCAGCTGAAGTTCCACTCTGGTTTTCCTCTACCACTTCTCGTAAGACCTTGTACATCCTCGCCTTTTTCACGTTGGGTGCCTGGCAATTCCAAGGCCAGACATCAAACAGGAAGAGACACCGGAGAGACAAGAACCACAAGGCCAGGCCTGGGGGTGAGGTACACCAGCCTGACCTTAATTTTAAGAATCTTCATGGACCAAAGAAAGTGGATTACCAGAACTATGCAATGTGTGTTGCCAACCCTATAGTATAGCCAAGCTACCCCGGCACAACTCTTGGATGAAGGCCTTTGCCTCCTGCCCCTTACCATAGATTTTTTCAAGTTGAAAAATCGTCACCTTAGATGACACCAAGGGATAAGGTAAATCAAATCATCGGAAGAATGGACTAGCTCAACAATTTTGTTGAAGAGTCAAGCTACATTGGTTTGTTTTTATTTTAAATAATGGGGCCCTGACAGTCGTGTAGCGGTCAGTGCGCACAGTGCGCACAAACGTCACATACTTTTCTTCTATGTCGATCTCGCCCACATCTTGGTTTTGCACCCAAGATTTCAACATTTGAAACCTAAGTTGCCGGTGCACACATATGGGGTAAAATCATTTCAAACTGATACCATATGAAACTGCTGGAATTAAGATATGTCAAATATTGTTAAGTAACCTCTCCTTGTCATTGGCTAGGCTAAATTTAGCCACTAGCTCGGGCTTGGCATCTTTGTAGATTGCTCTTCGCATTGCCGCGTATTGGCGTTTTCTTTCCTAGGCTGGATTGATTGTGGATTAAACCCGATTCATGTTTGATCTGATGTGGTTCAACAAATTCCAATTCCATTGGCTTAACATCCATAATCATAGTCTTTTAGCTATGGATCGTCATAGGGCATTTCTGATGGCTTTTGCATGGCCTGAATTTTGGCCTTCTCCTCCTCCGTGAGAACTTTTTTGCGTTCCTTCTTCTCAGTCGTCGGTGGTGACGATGCCGAGTGTGGGCTAGCCTGACTGAGATAGCTTTGGATCAATGTAGTTTCCGATAATTACGATTTTGTTATTCAATGATTGATGTCAAACAAGTAGCATCATCCCCAAAAAGTTTGCGAGCAACAGACCCAGTCAAGGGTGATTCCAGCAGCAGTCCATCAATGCTGGCCAAAGTCGACTGTCGTTCCAGCAGCATGTCCTGGATTGATATAGAAAGAAAATACCACTTGCACGAAATGCTCAAAAAGGAAGTTCCCATCTTCCCATCATTAGGGTTGTGATTGTGGTATGTTTGTTTTATCATCCTGATGCCATAAATAAATCTGGTTGTTAGATCCCAATGGGAAACTACCCCCACCCACGGAAGAGTTAGTCCTGACTTTGGGACTTTTGGAGGTCCTTCACATCATCCTTCTGCTTGTGCTTCTTGACTTCCGATCTCTCAGTGTGGCATGGCGATGGTGACCTTTTCTTCGTGTCATTCTGTTGTTCAGTGTGCACTTTCTTTGGACATCTCTCATTGTCTATACCTTCATGGGCACTCTTTCGCTTCTTCGAATCATCTTTGGGCTTCTGAACCTTCAGTGGTCTGGCTTGGTCAAGCAGGCACAAAGTTGAGCAAGTGGCACTCTTTGGTTTCTCTGTGGAATGCTGGTCTGAGACATTGCCAGCATCTGGTGTTGGCTCATCATCCTTGCTCTTCTTCTCTTTTTTCTCCTTCTTGTCCTTCTTTTCCTTTGGCTGCTTGCCTTTCTCGGTGGCATTCTCTGGCGTGGATCCATGTGCAGATCCGATGCTATTGTCTTCTGTCGTCTTGTCTTTCTTGCTGTGCTCGGACTTGGTGGCTTCTGCAATGGCAGGTGCAGAGCTCTTCGAGACCTTGTCACCACCTGGTGTTGACTCGCCCTCCTGTGGTGTTGCCTTCTTCTCTTTTTTCTCCTTCTTGTCCTTCTTTTCCTTTGGCTGCTTGCTTTTCTCGGTGGCATTCTCTGGCGTGGATCCATGTGCAGATCCGGTGCTATTGCCCTCTGTCGTCGTGTCTTTCTTGCTGTGCTCGGACTTGGTGGCTTCTGCAATGGCAGGCGCAGAGCTCTTCGAGATCTTGTCAGCACCTGGTGTTGACTCATCCTCCTGTGGTGTTGCCTTCTTCTCTTTTTTCTCCTTCTTGTCCTTCTTTTCCTTTGGCTGCTTGCCTTTCTCGGTGGCATTCTCTGGCGTGGATCCATGTGCAGATCCGGTGCTATTGTCTTCTGTCGTCGTGTCTTTCTTGCTGTGCTCGGACTTGGTGGCTTCTGCATTGGTAGGCGCAGAGCTCTTTGAGACCTTGTCACCGCCTGGTGTTGACTCATCCTCCTGTGGTGTTGCCTTCTTCTCTTTCTTCTCCTTCTTGTCCTTCTTTTCCTTTGGCTGCTTGCCTTTCTCGGTGGCATTCTCTGGCGTGGATCCATGTGCAGATCCGGTGCTATTGTCCTCTGTCGTCGTGTCTTTCTTGCTGTGCTCGGACTTGGTGGCTTCTGCATTGGCAGGCGCAGAGCTCTTCGAGACCTTGTCAGCATCTGCTGTTGACTCATCCTCCTGTGGTGTTGCCTTCTGCTCTTTCTTCTCCTTCTTGTCCTTCTTTTCCTTTGGCTGTTTGCCTTTCTCGGTGGCATTCTCTGGCGTGGATCCATGCGCAGATCCGGTGCTATTGTCTTCTGTTGTCTTGTCTTTCTTGCTGTGCTCGGACTTGGTGGCTTCTGCATTGGCAGGGGCAGAGCTCTTTGAGATCCTGTCACCACCTGGTGTTGACTCATCCTCCTGTGGTGTTGCCTTCTTCTCTTTCTTCTCCTTCTTGTCCTTCTTTTCCTTTGGCTGCTTGCCTTTCTCGGTGGCATTCTCTGGCGTGGATCCATGTGCAGATCCGGTGCTATTGTCCTCTGTCATCGTGTCTTTCTTGCTGTGCTCGGACTTGGTGGCTTCTGCATTGGCACGGGCAGAGCTCTTTGAGACCTTGTCAGCATCTGGTGTTGACCCACTCTGTGGTGTTGCCTTCTTCTCTTTTTTCTCCTTCTTGTCCTTCTTGGTGGGTTTGCCTGTCTCAGTGGTGTTCCCTGCAGATCCGGCTCTCTTGGCTTCCTTGTCTAGCTGGGCAATTTTTTCTTTTGCCTCTCGCACAGCTTGTAACGAAGACTTGTTTTCATCATTTGTTTCTGCACCTACATTGGCTGTTCCATTGTGTTCTCCCTTTTGCTCATCAGTCTTTTTTCTTTTACTTGTGGTCTTCACCTCCTTTGTCGCATTCCTCATCTCTTGGAGTAGCTTTTCTCGTTTCTCTGCACGTTTTTCATCCTCCTTCACAGCCTTTTCTAAGGCCATTCTTTGTTTCTCAAATTCAACTAACTTGGGGCACGGAATAGTGGTGGCCTTCTTAGCTCGAATCCGTGCAGCCTCTTTGGGGGTCATAAAAACCTACGTAAGGTTCCTAGTCCCACACAGCTGGGAGCCACAAAGTTCTCCGGAAACATACCCAGAATTACCCAAACAAAGTCCAGTGAAAAAATCGCATTTTGAAGATTATGGCATCAGGAGGCCAAAAACGACACGCAAATGACACGCACTCAGACACTAGGAGTTCCCGTGGCACGCTCCTAACGGCCTACAAATGGTGATACTTTTACAAAACGGCCTACAATTGGTAAGCCACTCCCAACCCCAATGACACGCAAATGACACGCAATGACACGCGCCTTTGGTCTGTTTTTCCTGAAACATTTCATATTCCCGAAGGTTCGCACTGAAGCTCTGTGGCTTGTGTGCGTGGCCCCAGAGATGCCGATGGTTGGACCCAGGGAAACTGATTGAGAGTAGTCATCACAAAAGGACTATCATAACATTTTTGTAAGTTATATCATAAGTAACCTCATATTTGTCGGGTATGTTGGGGCTACAAGTAATTAAATATATTCATCACCCCCAGGATCCTAGACAGCTGGCATCAACCCCTATACTATACCCCTATTGTTGGCCCTCAGATTGGGCCCGTCCGGCTTCCTGATCAGCCTCTCGAGTGTCAGCAGCTAGGGTCTCCCATTCACAGTTGCAATCTTTGCAGATGCATCGAAGTTGCACCACATCGGTCCTCAGAAACGGGGCGCAATGGATCCATAAAGTGGCTATAAAGTTGTTAATGGAACATCCAAGATCACTTGAAGAATTGGCAGCCCGCATCCCATAACGAGGTTTCCTTTGTATATGGGGCTGTGTAAGTTGTAACTTGTTTGCACAATATTCCTGTGTGAAAAATATGGTAACCAAACTTAGTTCTACCCACCCACCTACCTAACCTAAATCAAACGTATCCAAGATTCTCTTCTAGCCATTCCTCAACTTGAGTGAGCCAGCAGCTCAAACATAGACGCTCATGACGGGCAGTCCACAGCTCAGCTAAGTAAGGGTTACTATAAGGACAAGACATGTTGGTATTGTACCAAGAGCACTATCTGAGGGCCAGTGCTACCAGCCATTGAGTCACTCATAATATCAGATTGTTTCAAAATCAACTGGGCTATGGCAGCTGTGACCATATCGGCTTAAATCCTTCATTTGTAATGTCAACCCCGGATTAATAAACCATGGTTTATTAATTAGGGGGGTACTCCTCCAATAGTCAAAATATGATACTTAAATGGTACCCTCCCAATTAAACAATCTAGGGGTTTATTAATCCAGGGTTGACATTAAACATGACATAACACACATACAGTGAACGTCACAAGCGAACTGCCCAAGCACCTAACCCCTTTTCACCCATAACTTCTGTAGTACAAGTGCGATCCTCACATAGGAAATGGGTGGCCCAAAGAAAAACAGGTATGATTATTGGTTGAGATTGATCTATGGTTTCAAATTCATCCATGACGGCCACACCCATCACCCCGTGAAGGTTGGTTTCCTCCACTCGGTTCTTTTGGATCCCTTCATGAAATCATCCAGGGAACCCAAATGGTCTGTACCTTGGTATGTTAAATCAAGACCTTTCTCAATTGGTCCTCCCTCGAGCAGGCACCAGGGCAGCTATTGCCATACCAAAACCACGAGGATAATTGGCCGATTTGGCCAACTCACTTTTGATCCCTGCCTCAGATGCTAAATGTTTTGGGTAAGACAAGTGTGTGAAACCATGAAGGCTCACGAATG